TCCCTGGGCATCCTCGCCCTCTGCACCACTAAATGACGGAGGCTAAAGACTACCAAACCTCTCCAGCCTACGCTGCTCGTCCTCCGGCATGGCAGGAAATATATAGTCCTGAGTAGCTGCAACCGGCTAGGCTGGATGCACCCCCGACGTTTAGAGTCCCTGCACGACCTGCTCAGGTGTGTGACCGGCGGGAATCTGATTGCCTCTTCCGGCTTGAGAAGTAGCTGCGGATGTAGTGGCTGAAATTGCCTGAGCCAGGCCAGTGCAAATGGATAAGATCTGTACCAAGGCTTCCTGAAGACCCGGAATCATGATGGGCACAGCTGGTGTCTGAACTGGTGATACTGGAGCATCCATAGCTAGAGCTTGATCTTGAGCTGGGGCAGCTGGTGGATCTACAGGTGCTGCCCTCTCTGCTCTACCACGACCACGAACACGTCGTCAGCCTCTGGTGGCCACATCTGGTGGTACTAGGGTTCATCCACCCCGACCAGTAGCGCGTGTCCTCACCATCTGTTAGAGGATAGAATAATAGAAGTTTAGTACTTGGATCAACAAGTTTGCATAACAAAAATTTCAAGAATATGAAGTTTTTCCTAAAGGTTCTGCAGCCTCTCGAGGATAAATACAGACGTCTCCGTACCGATCCGCAAGACTTTACTAAATCTGCTCATGACTCATGAGACCTATGTAACCTAGGCTCTGATACCAACTTGTCACGACCCTAAACCCAGACCCGGTCATGATGGCGCCTCTCGTGAAGACAAGGGCAGCCGACACTTCCCATTTTTCCAATTATTAACAATTTAGCATTTAGAAACAGTCTAAACATGAATAGATAATCCAAAGTAGCAGATAATATCATGTAAGGCACACAGGGGTGCATAGAGTAAAGTGAGTACTCCAACTCAGTGAGTAACAAATTTAAATAACGACTGAAAGTAAGAAAACACGTAAGGCACAAGGCATTCTATAATGAAGCAGTAAAACCATTTAAAAGCAGTACAACAGTGGAAAGTCAAGTAAAATCCTCTTTCAACAAATAAACAAGTAATTGACAGGTAATTAAGGTAGAGTAAACAAATAGAAGTTCGCCCCTCGGGCATAGTATCACCACATCTGCCCCTCGGGAAACATCTCAGAACGATAACAGCCCCTCGAGCTCAATCTCACATCACAATGGGTACCCACACTCACTTGGGGTGTGCAAACTCCTGGAGGGGCCCCTTATGGCCCAAGGGCAATATCAAGCCACCTCGTGGCATCATCATTAGGCCCTCGGCCTCATATCAAACAAGCCACCCCGTGGCGTACATATCTCAGGCCCTCGGCCTCATAATCAGTGTCAAATATTTTCTCACAACATAGGCCCTCGGCCTCACTCAGTCAAAAGTCCTCACAAGCCACTCGGGCAATAGTAAAATAGTATTTCTCAGCCCAGACATCATTTAAAAATATCATTTAAGTATTAAAACTGAGTAAACATGGCTGAGTACGAAAACAGTGGAAAATAACATGATTGAGTTCAAGTATAAAGTCAAAATAGTCAGGAAATATAAAACAAATAGGGTTCAAATAGTTGGCACAAAGCCCAAATATGGCATTCAGCCCAAATAATGATGATAACGAATAGATTCCAGTCAAATACGTGGTAAAACCATCAGGACGGACCAAGTCACAATCCCCAATAGTGCACGACCCCACGCTCATCATCAATCGTGTGTGTCACCTCAATATAGCACTATGACGTGCAAATCCGGGGTGTCAAACCCTTAGAACATCATTTACAAATATTACTCACCTCAAACCGGCTAAATCCCTAGCTCGTGACGCCTTTGCCCCTCGAATCGGCCTCCACGCACGTCGAATCTACCCAAAATCAGAACGAGGACGTTAACATATGCTAAGGGAACAAAGTCCAAGCGAAAATAATCAACAAAGGGCACAAATCTCGAAATTACCAAAACTTGACCCCCAAGCCCACGTCTTGGAATTCAGAAATTTTCACATCAATAGATTCCTTATCTCCCCACAAGTTCATACATATCAAAAGTTCTCAAATCCGACTCCAAATGGTCCTTCAAATCCACAATTAAAGGCCTAAGTTCTCAAGACCTAGTTTCCCCAATTTTAACCTTTGATTTCCATAATTTCTTGCCCTAATCCATGAAATAATAGCATAGGAATGAGCTTTAGGTCTAAATTCCTTACCTCAATGAAGTTCTCTTGAAATCCCTCTCTCAATTCGCCCAAGAAGCTCCCAAGCCGAAGTCAAAAATGGTGAAATAGCTACATCTCGCGAAATGAAATAACTTATATGTTCTACCCAGGATTTTCTGCATCTGCGGTCCAAAACCCGCTTCTGCGGTACCGCATATGCGGTCAAATCCTCCGCTTCTGCGGAATTCACTTACCAGCCGCAAACCGCATTTGCGACCCAATATCCGCACCTGTGACTCCGCACGTGCGGTCCAAATACCGCGTCTACGGTTCCTGACTCTTCCTCTCAAATCCGCTTCAGCGGCTCCCCCTTCTGCACGTGCTGCACCGCACATGCGGTCCCCAAACTGCAGGTGCGAAAATACCAGAAGCAGAAAAATCTCAGCAGCTGTAATAACTTTTCAACTTCTCTGATGACCACCCGAAATCATCCTGAGGCCCCCGGGACCTCAACCAAAAGCACAAACATAACCCAATACCTTATTCAAACTTGTTCCAATAATCAAAATTCCTCAAACAACATCAAATCTATCAAATCACATCGGATTCAAGCCTAAGTTTCTAAAATCTTCCGAAATACGTTTTTTTCAAAAACCTAACCAAACCACGTCCGAATGACCTGAAATTTTACACACATATCCCAAATGACACAACGGAGCTACTGCAACTCTTGGAACTCCATTCCGACCCCTATATCAAAATCTCGCCTACCAACCGGAAATCGCCAAAATATCAACTTCGCTAATTCAAGCCTAAAACTACTCCAACCCTCCAAAACCTATTCCGATCACACTCCTAAGACATAATCACCTCCCGAAGCTAACCTAACCATCAGAACTCACATCCGAGTCCTCTAACACATAAGTCAACATCCGGTTGACTTTTCCAACTCAAACTTCCTTAAAAAGAGACTAGGTGTCTCAAACTTTACCAAAATCATTCCGGATTCGATCCGATCAACTCGATACTACAAAACATGGATAACGAAGCATAAAGAAGCAGAAATGGGGAAAATGGAGCAGTAACTCATGAGACGACTAGCCGGGTCGTCACAAATTCTTTAACCATTAGTGGAATGTTTTCTTACAAAATCATGGATTAATTCACCAAAGTAGTTGTGCGCATACCCCATAATAAAATAGAGTGGATGAAAGAAAACATAGGCGCATCTTAGACATTGTAAGAGCACTGAAGTTTCAGGCTGGAATACCAAGTAAGTTTTGGGGGAATGTGTGGAAACAATTATTTATCTTATAAACAAACTTCCTACTAGAGTACTGGGTGGTAAGAGCCCTTTTGATTTGCTACATAGCAGACAACACCCATAACATATCTGAGTACTTTTGGATGTTTATGTTATGCTACAAATGTGGTGAAGGAGGACAAAGTTGGACCTAGAGCTAGGGAAGCTGTTCTAATGGGGTATTCCACTACTCAAAAATGATATAGATTGTTTGATAGAAAGACTAACTCTTTCTTTGTAAGGAGGGATGTCATATTTAGGGAATCAACATTTCCTTTTCTCATCTCACAACACCAACAATCTATTCCTACTAATCAATTCCCAAGTCATATAGATGGTGCCTTTGAAACAATGCAAAGAGAAGAGATGATCACCATAGATCCAGACCTATCAGATTCAACAAGCAGGTTCAGATGTAGATGCAACACATGATGCATTTGACAATAGTGGTGTTGTAGTAGAACAAACAAATACCACATATATAGCTGATCATGATATAGCTGATCATACAGATACACCAGGAAATGTAGATTCATAGATGTCAATTAAATTGGCCCCAACTGAACTTCCCATAGCACCTACTACTCCTACTTCCACTGCTCTCCCTAGACAGTCAACTAGAACAAAGAACCCTCTTATTTGGATGAAAGATTATCTAGTAGGTGGAATGAAGAATTCTCAGTGTCCTTATCCAATATCAAATTTCCTATCTTATGACAATGTCACACATAAATACAAGGATTACATCATGGCTTTCTCAACAATCACAGAACCACACAGTTTTAGGGAAGCAGTGAAAGATGACATATGGGTACAAGCCATGAAATAGGAGATTGAATCTCTAGAGGACAATAAGACCTAGGTGGTGGTGGACCTGCCACCTGGAAAATCCTCTATAGGATCAAAATGGGTTTACAAAATCAAGTACAAAGCTAATGGAGAGGTGGAGAGGTTTAAGGTTCGACTTGTTGCCAAAGGATATAATCAACAAGAGGGCCTAGACTACCATGATACTTTCTCACCAGTTGCAAAAATGTTGACATTTCGATCTGTCATAGCATTAGCTGCTACCAAAGATTGGTCCCTCTATCAAATGGATGTCTTCAATGCTTTCCTACAAGGAGACCTAGAGGAGGAAGTTTACATGGACTTACCACAAGGTTTTCAAAGACAGGGGGAGAACAAGGTTTGTAGGCTGCTGAAGTTCCTGTATGGACTTAAACAAGCATCAAAACAGTGGAATCTTAAGCCCACAGAAGCCTAACTTAGTGCATGCTTCAGTCATAGTGCCTATGATTACTCTTTATTCACTAAAAGGTTTGAAAATGAGATAGTAATTATTCTAATCTATGTGGATGACCTATTGCTAAGAAGAAACAACATAGAACTCATTAATGAAGCCAAGTCAATACTGCATCAGAAGTTCAAGGTGAAGGATTTAGGTGAGTTAAGATATTTTCTGGGGATTGAAGTTTTGAGGTCTCAGAAGGGAATTCTTCTTAATCAGAGGAAATACACTCTAGAACTCATTTCATAGATGGGCTTAAGTGGAGCTAAACCTGCTGTTATACCTCTAGAACTCAATCAGAAGCTGACTTCTCTTGAGTATGATAAGGGGATTGGTAGTCAAGGACTTAACCCTTTGATAGATGCCACAAGTTACCAGAAATTTATCAGAAAACTCTTATATCTTACAGTTACTAGACCAGACATTAGCTATGCAGTACAAGTCTTATGTCAATTTATGCAAACTACCAAAAGATCTCACAAGGATAATGCTACTCGTGTGGCGAAATACCTGAAACAGGAGCCAGGTATGTGAGTGATCATGAGAAGACAACAAACTGATGTCTTGGTTGGATTATGTGACTCAGACTGGGCAGCATGCCCAATGAGTAGAAGATCAGTCAGTGGCTACCTTGTTAAGTTGGAGATTCTTTAATTTCTTGGAGGTCGAAGAAGCAACACACAGTCTCTCGAAGCAGTGCTGAAGCTGAATACAAGAGTATAACATCTGCAGTAGCTGAGATAGTGTGGTTGAGAGGACTGTTTGCATAACTAGGGACCCCAATCCATCAATTAGTTATCCTATTCTCAAATAGTAAGGTAGCAATTCAAATAGTTGCTAATCCCATCTTTCATGAACGAACAAAGCATATTGAAATAGATTGTCATTTCATCATGGAGAAGCTTAAGCAAGGGATGCTACAACCATAATATGTATCTACACGAAATCAACAAGTAGACATACTCACTAAAGGATTGGAATAACCTTAGCATCAGTTTCTACTTAACAAGCTTGGTGTGTTAAATATTTTACACCCTTCAGCTTGAGGGGGAGTATTGGAATATATAGTTAAGTGTATAGCGTTTAGAAGTTAGTAAGATATGGGACCTAATTGTAAATGTTAGAAGTTAGAGTGTGTTAGAGTTATTTTAGTTACTTAGTAACTAATTGTTAGTTAGAGGTGTATATAGTCGGTAGTCTTGTACTGAATTAGCTCATTGAGCTATTCTTAAATTCTAATGATTTCTTCTCCAAGCTTTCTCTACTAACAAATTGAGCTACCTTTTGTGATTGAGTACGAGTTAATATTCATTTTCTTATTTTGGTAAAGGGTTACACTCATCCCTATTGATGTGTTACTCGATATTGACTCTCCATGTTACATTTAGCTACAATGCAGATGTCCAATCTCGCCGAGTGTGTCAGGAGAGTGTTAGAATGTCTCACATTGATTGAAAGAACGCGATACAATCTTCTTATACCAACTTGGACAACTCTTATCTTTTGAGCTATATTTGGGGTTGAATAAGATCCAATATTCATTTATTAATCAATAATGCTAGAAGTTGTTCACTTTGGGATCTTGGAGATACTTCTTCCTTCCTTATTCTCATGCAGCAACTCAGCGCGCATTTGCTACTCATAGACGGATGTAGATATTAATGAAGACACCGTGCGTACGGCAGTATCGTATACATTCAATTCTTACCATACAACAAAATTAAAATTAAATACAAAAAAACAATCTGCCCAGGTACTATTTGTCGGACGCCTCCTCTTTTAATTTGTGTAGGCAACTCAAAAAGGAGTGATTTATTATACATTGCATGAAGATAAAAGCTACCTCTTTGACTGTTGGTGATGATTTACATTGNATATATATATATATATATATATATATATAAAATTGCTACTTTAATTTGATCTCTTCTTTCCCAACATGCAACACGCTGTCTCCCCCCATGCTTTGTCGAATGCTACTCAGAGTTATGCTCTCCTTTTACATATCACCACTGCTAGCTGATGAGCGCTACCTTTTTTACTTTTTCTTTAAAAAATTGGTCTTCAAAACTCAATGATGTAACTATTTCAATTTGCGATATATATGTCCGTAAAGTGCTTCAATTTGTGATTGTGAATAGATCTTGCCCTAGGATCAATTAAATGGTACTAAATCAGATTTTTACCTGCGTACGGCCCCAGAATTTTGTTTAGCTTAATTTTAGAAAGACATTATTGATAAAGTACTCTTCATTTGCACTTTTTCCTATGTATCATAGAATTCAAAAAGCAGTTTCTAATTGAGATGATCTTAATTTACCGATATAAAAATTAGCTAATCACTTGTAAGTGAAAGCAATGTCTGTGCGATAATTAATCAAACATAAAACATTCTTCGCATATCTCCTTGCAAGCAGACGTGGCATCCGATCTAACAACTCTCTTGAGGCGGATGCCTCTTAAGAGCAATGATTGGTGTGGAAAAATAGGCTTAAGCTAAGATTTTCGTTGCTTAATACATATTTGAAATAAATTCTCCTTGTATTATGATTGGATATGCAAAAGAATAAGACTAGATTTTTTGGTTTTATATTTGGACTTGAATATAACTCAGACTTTCAGAAGTAGATTAATATATAGACTTAAAGTTTGAACGTGTTCACTAACGTTCACTCGATAATCAATGGTGTAGACAAGAATATATGCAAGCGATGTTACTGTTTAAAATTGTAAACAACTAAACAAATTATTGTAATAATAATACCTTAATATAACATATTCAAATATATTAGTACAATTGTTATCGACGAGTTTTACTATTTTTTTTTGGTAACACATGTGAATATTACCATTCCTATAAACCAGATTATTTACAAATTAAGAGCACGTCATATAGGCCTCAGAAAAAGAACAACTAATTACATATCTCTTGTAACAATCCTATGCATTTTCTAGTTCTCTTTAAGCCCCCGAGCATATACATTCTTTCCCTAACTTCTAGTTTAATCTGTTGCACTATAATGTCTTTCTGCACAGTAATGTTTCTAAAAATTTCCAGTTACGGGGCAGGAGTAGGAGGAGGATCCTTGAGGAAGTCACTTCGAGACATGGAGTGTCTTGGCAGCAACTCCTCCACAGTGGGAAAACTATCCCCCTCCTCCACCTTCATATCTTCACCGTCAGAAGGGAGCGCCACAGACAACAAGGCGGCCTCAGAAACCCCCTCACGAGATCGATGTTTTCTTGGCATTTCTTCGATGAAAAAGGTGTTAAAACAGTAGAGAAAGTTGTGAACGAAGAAAGGGAGAAGAAGAAAAAGCAGAAGGTTGTTAGAATAAACTCGGGAGGAATGAGAAAGGATAACCAGAAATGAAATGGCCAAGAGTTTTTGAAAAAACAAACCCTCCACCTATTTATAGGATTGAGTGGTGCCAGAATCGAAGCATAAGGTTGCAGAGTGGCACCAAAATCGAAGCGACAAGCCCTCAACCCCTCTATCGAAAACACGCATAATGATGACACACGTGGAGATGACGTCATTTCCTGATAAAATATGCTATCCGGTGTCTCACTGAGCACGCTTACCGCCCATTATTGGCCAATCCGTAATGCCTCATAAGACCAAATTTATCCATAAGAGCGAGTGGTGTCCACTTATCGAGGACGCACCAAGTTGCAACCTTGACAAGCGGAGGGACTAACTGTATGGGTCCAAATTTGGACGACCACGACTGTTGATGAGTATGACAAGCGACGAGATCCTCGTAGCTCAACATCCTGCAAGGGACGACAAACGAGCGAACAAGAGACCGTATGACCTTTGCAGTAGTGTAGGTCCATTACGGGGCATTAGGAATATTCTTTCGAATATTCTCTATGATTTGTCTTTTAGGGATTAAAAGGGGTTTGTCCCTTATATATTGCATAAAGACAACCTTGTGGGGGTCTTCTTCTGCATTTTTTTAACTAAGAACACTTGCTTACATAAACGATTGATGTCAAGATTATTTAAGGATTCATCTTGATAAGGTCAAGAAAGATCCCCCTCTGTATTCACCTTGTGTACCCTTTGTTCTAGAGATTATTATACTTAGTTAAGATTTACCCCTTCATTTCTCTTCGATTTATTTGTCGAAAAAGGTCCCAATATCTTTTTAGTCAAACAATTTGGCGCCGTCTATGGGGATTTCTATAGCTGAGATCTTAGTTTCGTTTAGATCCCTGAAAGAAATAATCACCTCTTCTTAGCCTCGCAAAGGCCAACAATGGCAGGAAAGGGAGAAGCAAGATTAAAATCAATAGTAGGTGTCACAAACAACCTTCTAGATTCTCTCAACGAAGCCGGTAGGGAAGATAATGAAAACGCAATGCCAAGTGCTACACTTGAGGGAGAGATCTCACGCCCTCCTACACGAAAGTGTGACTGTCTCGCGCGAGAGGGAAACCTCAACATCCGCAGCAGGAGAAGCACCACCGACTGTGAAAAGGCTATTAGAAAAGTGGTTGACAAACACCTTGAGCAACATACTTGACAAACCCACTCAAAGGGATATTGGAGGCACAATACCCGCAGGAACCGCAACTATCGCCGATGAGCCAGAAACTCCACGCACAAGTAACACTCACACTGTCATTGATGCAGGTAACGATGCACTTGTGGCCATCTTAAAGAAAATGGAAGAGATGGAGAATGAGAACAAAACGCTCCGCGATCAGATGAAGGAGCATCAGGAGAGGGTCGGTAAAATACAGGCGCTCCGAAGCTACTACCAAAATGTGACGTAGGCCGGTTTGTCGAACAACCATATAGTGAAGGGGAAGCTCCCCACTCTATTCCGAAGACCTTTAAAATGTCGCCATATTTGAAAATATATGATGGCACCACGGACCCGGAAGATCATTTAATCCACTACGTTACTGCAGTAAAAGGCAATGATTTATCGAAAGAACAGGTGCCATCGGTGCTACTGAAAAGTTTGGCGAAACTCTAACAGGGAGAGCACTAACATGGTATTCCCAACTACCAGCACGATCGATATCAAAGTTTGAAGAAATGGCAGATAAATTCGTTACCGCTCACGCATGAGCAAAAAAGGCAGAGGCCAGGGTAAATGACATCTTCGCCGTCAGGCAGACGACAAGTGAGAGACTTGAGGATTTCCTAGGCTGATTCAACAAGGTAAGAATGAGCCTACCAAACGTATTAGAAGGGATGGCGATAGCGGCCTTCCAAAATAGGTTAAACAGAAACGGGTCAAAAGCAACCAAAAAGCTGCTAAGTAGACTCATGAAGTACCCTCCCACCACGTGGGAAGAAAGAAGTCTACCAACCCTTTTCAAGTCGGGAATGCCACATCAGTCTGATATTCTAATATGTTGACTTGCACCCAGACCTAGCTCTCTGTGGTGGGGCGATCTCGCTAGGTAAGACAATGAGACCAAAGCATGAAAAATCGGATCCATAATGCCTATTGTGCTGAAGTAAGGGCAGACAAGGATGACCTAAATGGACCGATCCAACGGCTAACATCGGTCAAAATCGAGACAAGGAGAGATTGCCGCAATGATGGTCAAAGGGGCCAACTATCCCGTTTCAATCGAGAAAGGCATCAGCCTTATATCCGAACATCCAACCCACCTCCTCCACGACATAC